TACGACCAAGTCAGAGGGCCCCGAGCTTGGCAAGACAACGCGCCTCGCCCCTCTCAAAACCCGTACAACTCCCCGCCACCCCGGGACAGCGCCTCTGCCTGGTGCCGCTACTGCAAGAACGCAGGGCACGAAATAGAAGAGTGCCGTAAGCGCCAGTACAATAACTCGCGACGGGACCAGGGAAACGCCCTACACCCCTCGGGAAACCGGGACGCACCCCGAGCGGGCCCTCCTCAGACGCCCAAAAGCCCGGTTCGCGCGATAGGAACAGCGGAACCAGCAAATACCGAGTCGCAGTCCTAAATCCTCGCGACTTCTCACACGCGCCCTCGGTCCGATTCAAGGCTGAAGGACTGAAAGAAGCCACACTATTCATGGTCGACACCGGGGCCGCGCCTAACTTAATTAAACAATCAAAAATCGACTCATTCGACGCGATTAATCAACGCGACCAAATCATGCTGAAAGGCATCACATCGGGCAGTATCCCAACACTAGGGTCCGTTAGCGTAACCCACATGGGATTCCCGATAAAACTCCATGTCGTGAGCGACGATTTTCCAATCCCACAGGAAGGCATCCTAGGAACCGCCTTTCTAAGCGACGCTGGTTCAATTGATTTCAAAAGACAAGTCCTCATCTGGCAAGGGATACCGATACCCCTACTTAACGAAACGACAGTCTCAATCCCCGCAAGAACGCGCGGTATCTTGCCATTGAAAATTCTAAATTCGTATATTAAAGAAGGCTACGTACCTCGCCTACCGCTCCGAGGAGACGTTTTTGCAGGAGACGCCGTCGTCTCAAACTGCAACGGGGTAGCATACATGCGAATCGTCAATACGGGTGAAACTGACCTCAAAATTCCAATTCCAACGATAGAATTAGAAGAATTCGACATCGTTTCAAAGAGACCTCGCGCTTCGCTTACGCCGAAACCTAAGGGCATACCGGCCGCCGGCGAAAAGACCGCCTGTATAAACAAACCCACCCTAGGGACGGGTAAAGCTACACGGGCGATCGAAACAAAGGACACTTTTGACCTGCAAACACCCGCACGCCTAGGCGAAAAGGGCGATAACAGACAAATGTGTTTCCACGTGTCCCATTCCTCGGGCAACGAAGAGGCCCATTTCTTAGCGCAGAAACGTCAAAAGTACGAAGAGTTAAAAACCTTCCTGCGCCTCGAGCATCTGAATAACTTGGAAGCTGACCACGTAGGGAAAATCCTTAGAAATCATAGCGACATTTTCCGTTTACCAAACGAAAGGTTAGGATTTACGAACGCGACCCGACACAAAATAACCACAACTAACGAAATACCCATAAACACAAAGCAATACCGATTCCCGCCGATTCACAAGGAAGAAATCAATAAACAAGTACAAGACCTCCTAGACAACGGAGTAATAGAACCTTCTAATTCACCTTATAATTCTCCCTTGTGGATTGTGCCCAAAAAACCGGACTCCAAAGGAAACAAAAGGTGGCGGATGGTAATCGACTACCGCGCACTAAACGAGAAGACAATAGGCGAGGCTTATCCGCTCCCTAACATAACGGAGATCTCAGACCAGCTTGGCAGCGCTAAATATTTCAGCGTATTCGACTTGACATCTGGCTTCCACCAGATCGAAATGGACAAATTGGATGCACACAAAACCGCTTTTTCGACTCCGCATGGTCACTATCAATTCAGTAGGATGCCTTTCGGTCTAAAAAACGCGCCAGCCACGTTCCAGCGATTGATGGACCAAATCCTCACAGGGCTGCAGGGCACCGAATTGTTTGTTTATCTCGACGATATAGTCTTATACGCTAGTTCACTCGAGGAGCACTCCGCTAAATTTACAAAATTAGCCGAAAAATTACGCGCCGCCAATCTCAAACTCCAACCCGACAAGTGCGAGTTCTTACGCAAAGAAGTCTCGTATCTCGGTCATATAATAGGAAAAACGGGAGTAAAACCGGACCCAAAGAAAATCGAAGCAGTGAAAAACTTCCCTCGACCGGCAAACTCGAAGAACGTGAAACAGTTCCTAGGCCTATCGGGATACTACAGGCGTTTTATACCAAACTTCTCGAAAATCGCGAAGCCTCTGACGAACTTGCTAAAAAAGGACGCCACGTTCGAGTGGAAACATGCCCAGGAACAATCTTTCGCTTCCTTGCGATACGCCCTATGTACAGATCCAATCCTACAGTACCCCGACTTTACTAGACCCTTCGTAATCACAACAGATGCGTCGGGTTACGCAATAGGAGGAATCTTAAGCCAAGGGGAGATAGGCAAAGATCTCCCGATAGCATACGCGTCACGTTTACTAAATTCAGCCGAACAAAATTACTCAACAATAGAGAAAGAACTCCTAGCAATCGTTTATAGCGTCCAGCATTTCCGTCCATACCTATACGGCCGACAGTTCAAACTCGTCACGGACCACAGACCGTTAGTATGGCTGCATTCCGTAAAAGATCCGAGCTCGCGATTATTTAGATGGAGGCTCAAATTGCTAGAGTACGAGTATGAAGTGGTGTACAAAGGCGGCAAAATCAACGGAAACGCCGATGCACTATCCCGAAACCCCCCACGCGCCAACCTATTCCCCCTTACAGCAAATACCGAATCCTCGGACTCCGACGAATCCTTATTCTCGACACGCGTCCGCAGCACAAACCTACCTAACCCAGAGATTACCGACATAAGCAACGGTGACCCAGACCATGAGAGCACGAACCCAAACATTCCGAACGACGAGGAAACGGACCAAAGCGATGTGACCAGCACGACAGACAGCACAGACAGCTCCGACTCTACCATTTTCGAACGAATCAACGAACCCTACCAGTTCGGAATCGGCAACATACACGAAATCAAGGATAACTTCCTGACAAGGAAGGACCATAGAGCCATCTTTGTCACCCAAAAGGGCGACCCCTGCGACCAAGGGGCTAAGATGTTGAGGGATAATAACTTGCTGCCGCCATTACCACCCGACACTATGTTGGGCAGGGCACGTGTCATCCCCGGAAGAGGCTCACCTACGATCCTTCTGGTGATCAAGGAGCGAACAACCACCCAAATCGACATCGAGATTCTGCAGAAGGCCATACAATGCCTGAAGAACGTATGCATGGAACTTAACCTAGCGTCAATATCCATGTGCAAAGGCAATATAGAAGACATCCCTTCCCCTATGGTAGAGAACCTGATTAAATCCAACTTCGAAGGTATCACGACAAAGATCCTTCTCTGTACCAATAAGGTCCAAATTCCTCCACTCCCCGACAGACGGAGGATCATCGAGGAAAACCACGCCAGCACAATAGGCGGTCACAAAGGAATCACCAAAACATACCTCAGGATAAAAGGAAAGTACCAATGGCCAAACCTAAAAACAGACGTGCAAACCTACATAAGGAATTGCCGTAACTGTCAGCTAAAGAACTTGGTCAGGGTAAAAACAAGACAACCGATGGTATTAACAGACACCCCCAAGGAGGCATTCGAGAAAATTTCAATGGACATCATGGGTCCCTTACCTACCACCTCCTCCGGAAATTCATATATTCTAACCATCCAGGACCTCCTAACGAAGTATTCCTTGGCAATCCCACTAAAACAGGCAACTGCCATCGATATCGCCGAAGCTTTTGTAAACAATTTCATATGTACGTACGGAACCCCCCGAATCATCCTAACAGACCAGGGTTCCCACTTTATTAACAGCTTAATGAAGGCCATTTCAAAGAAATTTAAAATCAAGCAATGTAGGACGACCGCGTACTACCCGCAATCAAACGGATCGGTGGAACGCAGCCATCACGTTCTGTGGGAATACCTAAAACAGTACACTAACCAAAAGGAAGAATGGGACGAGTTTATAACACTTGCGATGTTCTCCTACAACACTAGCGTGCACGAAAGCACTAACTACACACCACACGAGTTAGTCTTCGGGAAAATCGCTAGGACCCCCTCGGATAACCCCCCTTTGGAAAACAATATTAACGACACCTATAACGAATATCTAATCAACCTATTTAATCGTATCCGAACCACGCAGGAAATAGCGAGAAATAACCTGAAAATTTCTAAGGTTAGAAGCAAACTCTACTACGATCAACGCGCTAACCCCCAAATCTTTCAAGTAAACGATAGGGTATACCTGCTTAAGGAACCTAGTAAGGGTAAACTGGGAGACCAATACACAGGCCCTTATGAAATAATTAAGGTACTAGATAATAATAATGTAAAAATTAAGTTAAGCGATACACGAAATAGGATAGTCCATAGCAATAAGCTGCGTATAGATAAGGCCCAGCACCCCTCCAGACGGAATACCCCCACCACAATACCAGGCCCCTCCACCAGCATCGGAAACGCACGGCTGGAAAACACCAGGGATCACTGTACAGAATAACACGAGCAGAGCAACGACATGCATCGCCTCAAAAGCCTCATCACTCTCCTCGCCTTCACCATATGGCCCCAACCCGGGACATCGCTCACCGGATACGATTGCGGAGGCGAGAATCTAAACATTACGTCGCTCTCACTGAAGGACATTGCGGAATGTAACATCGATATAATGGAGCCAAAGACTGAGGAAATATACTTACAGCTGATGCAATTTAACGACTTCTCCCACACGGAAGCCATCCAGTGCCGCATCGAAGTCGATAGAACAATCTACAGATGTGGCATGTTCTCGCATGTCTCCACAGTTCCAGGAGGCAAGCGCAGCTATATACGAGAAATTACGGAAGAAGCCTGCAGAAAAGCACAGGAAACAGGAATCTTCACTATTGGCAACGACATCGTAATAGACGACCTAAGGAGAAATTCTACCACATCGAGGAGTCTAACTCTCGCCGGCTCTTTGCAAAATGACGGGGCATGTCAAGGAGCCACCTTCACCGACCCCTTCGGAACATGGGACAATGCCATCGTGCAAGCCAGCCTCCAGATCACCCTAAAGGACTTCTCAATCCCTATTAAATCCACAACCAACGAAGTCATACTACCATCCGGAGTTCGATGTGTCGCAAACAACAAAGAATGTATGGACATAGACGGCGCAAAAATTTTCTGGAAAACAGTACCAAAGGACAACTGCAACTTTGACCGCTACGACATTCTATACGAAGGCGTCGCCCACAAACTAACGCCAGCACCGGGACAAGGCGAAGGCCTGACAATCTACACAGTGACAAACAGCGAAGCTACATTTGCCCTCGCCAAAACCTCGGAATCCAATCTCTGCGGGTACAGGATTTCGCACACGGAACACCCCAAACTGTTCCTCCTGGAAACCACACGAGGGAGGACCTTCAAAGGAAGAACCAGCATATCTATCGACAACCTGGATATGTTTGCCTATGTCAACTCAAAATTTGTGTATATAGAGAGGCATATGAAGAACCAGCTCACAAGGATGTACAAGGATATAATACTGCAGAAATGCGCTTTGGAAAGACAGGTATTGGAGAACGCCCTGTCACTATCCAGCATCGCCCCGGACGAAATGGCACACCGCTTGATGAAAGGACCCGGATATACGGCCGTCACAGCGGGCGAGGTAATTTACATCATTAAATGCATACATATGTAGAATACGCCATACAAATGCAGTCATATGTAGAATACGCCAAGTAGAGAGATGCTATAACGAACTACCGGTGATATACAACAATGTATCCTACTTTCTTACTCCGCGCTCCCACATACTCACGAGAGCAGGCACAATAAGGGAGTGTAACGAACTGCTGCCGCCAATGTACCATATGCAGGACACATGGTACAAAATGATGCCACGACCAGTGGAATCCGTTCCTCCGCCAGTGATCCAACCTTTGGCAAAACCCAACTGGAAATATACAAGCCCAACCAACTTAGCAACCAGCGGGATATACTCGGCAGAAGATTTGGACAGGCTGAAAAGCCATATTATGTTCCCAGTAGAAGACAGCCATCATGAACACGATT